ACGTTCTATTTTCGTATCCGTTGCTAGGCAACCCGATAAACACGTGCTCAAATATCATGCCCGCAAGTTGAGGTGTCATTTGAGGGCGCATGCGGGCGCATTGTCCGTTACCCACTTGTCATAGGGAGCTTTAGATTTGACTACGAGTACGACTACGAGTACGAGATTCGTCAAGCTAAACGCATGCTGTATGCTTACGCCATCTCGTACTTACGCTAAAAAGTCGTAGCCGTCGCCCATCTGAGTACGAAATTGTGGGGAAACCACGTAGTCCTCACGACGACTTTTCAAAAAAAAACAAAGAAAGTTGGCTTTTTTTTGTTTTCCAAAAATAATTTGTAGCATTTATATAGCGTTTATTCGGCGCAAATAATATATTAGTACTAAATATCTGGCCTGTTTTTAATGTTATGACTTATTTACACGTTTTGTAGGGGATTTTAGTCAGCAGGAGATTTAGTTTATGAAACTTTTTCTCTCGTTGTTGATTTACTGTTATAAAAGCAACATTTGAATGGAAACGAGAACGACTACGGTAACTTCCTCGCACGCGATCAAATCTCGTACTCGTAGTCGTACTCGTAGTCAAATCTAAAGCTCCCTATTGTCTCGGGAGACACGGGCAATCTATCATAAATACCGGTTATATAATTCGCTATCTAGCGAAGCGCTACTTCGGGCAGGGAGCAACACAGCTGCTATAAAACCTAAAAATAAAATATTAAACAAAATTCCATGGAAAAACGCTTGCTCAAATAATGTCTCGAATACGAAGGGTCCTGCGACCATAGCGACACGCCCCATAGAAACGCAAGCTCCAACGGCGATGCTACGATTTTCAGTCGGGTAGAGCAGCGAAGCGTAGACATAAACCACAGCAATTGTCGACACGACCAGACTTCGAGATAGCATTGTGCCGACAAGTAACACGGTCTTCTGGTTTGGGAAAAACAGGACACCAATCTGTAACATTGCTGTCAGTAGTATTAGAGTTAGTGCTACATTTTTCACAGAAAAAAAGTAACATCCTATTGCGACTGTGATTATTATCATCAACTCAGGAATATTCATCCAAGTCATTGTGAAATACAAATTACCTTTTGAACTAGTGCCTAGTTTGTCTTGTTCACCATGGCTGTTTATGGTAGACATCGTATTTTCACGACTAACGACATCGGAGGCGGTGCACATTAAAACGTAATAGGTTGACATAAGGCTAAAAGTAACGATACAAATGCATACCGTGATTTTCCAATAACCAGATCGAAAAAGCCGTCTGAAATCTGCGTTTTTTGACTCGTTTTTTCGGTTGAGTTTTGTGTTGCTCAAGTCCATTTCGGGTGCGAAATTTTGTAAAACATTCAAAGCTTTCTGCTCGTCACCGGCAGCTAGGTGGTAATATGGCGTCTCGGAGAGAAATGCAATACCAACAAGGGAAATTGTGGCGGGAAAAGAGACGGTAGCCAAAGTCCAACGATAGCCGATTACCGAAAGCTCGAAAGAGGTGACTGCTGAAAGTAGGAAGCCTAAAGTCCAGAATACAGAGTTCAATACAGAAAACATAGTTCGGTATTTCGGTGGGAATAATTCCATGGTCATAACATAAGTCTCAAATGTGGTTGATATTCCAAACCCGAGCAAGAAAAGGCTTATCCATAACCAGTAATAGTTTGGTGAAAATGCACTTGCAAATGCGAAAACCACTATGAAAGTAGCACTGCCGATAAAACCGCGTTTTCGTCCGTATTTGTCACATACCCAGCCCCAAAACCAACAACCCACTATCATTCCAATCGATATGGAGATGGTTAAGATTCCAGCGTGAAAGGATGAGATATTCCAGGCGGATTTTATACTTGGAAGTATCATAGACAAGATGAAATCTTCAAGTGAATTTACGATGTTTAATAGGCCGAGTATTAGGAACGCTTTCAAATGAAATAATCTCAAGCCTATACCATCTAGAATTCCATCGATCGAGCGAGATTTAAAAAAATCAGCTCTAAAGCCCGCGGTACCTGTAACGTCGTCGTTCTCGAAGATAGATTTATACTTAACGACACGAGTCTGCATTGATTTTTTCTTCTCTGAACTCGCTTTAAGCCAAATGAATGGTACATAGAGGTTCATTATCACATTTGTTTGGTTCACGGCAAATATAATTATGGCGCTATACAGGTATATAAAATAATATGTGGTACATGGTTGATCAGCCATGGTTGGCAAGAAGAGATAGTTTGCATTCCTCAGCCTCAGGGTCAACTTTCCTTTGCCTTGTACTGAACTGATCTATATGGCTCGTGAAGCGTATTGACTGATGAGAACATTCGTATTTAATATAAATTAATGATATTTGGTAAGAAAATTGAACTAGAAGTTCATGTAAATCAGAATGATTCTGTATCAAATGTACAAATTCCTTCACGCCGTCAATATTCCTTCACTTAATTAAATTAATGTTGTATAATTTTTGGCCTTTATATGATAATATGGTACATTGGACCATATTATCATATAAAGTATATTGTTAATTGTTTTATATATATGCCAAAAATTTTACATCATTAATTTAATTAAGTGAAGGAATAATGACGGCGTGAAGGAATTTCTACATTTGATACAGAATCATTCTGATTTACATGAACTTCAAGTTCAGTTTTCTTACCAAATATCATTAATTTATTTTAAATACGAATGTTCTCATCAGTTAATGTACGTTTCACAAGCCATAAAGATCAGTTCAGTACAAGGCAGAGGAGAGCTGTCCCTGAGCAATGCAAACTATCTCTTCTGGCAACCATGGCTGATCAACCATGTATCACGTAATTGTTGTTTTATATACCTGTATGCGCCATAATTATCTTCGCTGTGAACCAAATGTGATCATGAACCTCTGTATACCATTCATTTGGCTTTTTAGAGTGAGTTCAGAGAAAAAAATTCAAGGCAGACTCGTGACATTAAGTATAAACCTATCTTCGAGAACGACGAAGCTATCGGTACGTACATTGCGGGCTTCAGAGCTGATTTTTTAAAATCTCGCTCGATCGATGAAATTCTGGATGGTATAGGCTTGAGATTATTTCGATTTGAAAGCGCTTCTAATACAGAGGCGTAGCCAGGGCTGGGGGCCCGGCCCACCGCTGGCAAAATTTTGCCCCCCGGCCCCCCCTGATAAAATCTATTGTATAAAAAAGGAATCCTTGATTATATAGCTTCATGCTGTCGATAATGCAAAAATTCTGTAGAACTTGTATATGCTTTGCTGCACATCAGTGTGAAACCTAAAATCTTGTTCGCTTATTTGCGGTACACAACTTGAAATACATATCTTTTCTAACCCTAATTATTTCAATATGTATTAGATGAGGGTGAGATGTTGGAAGTTTAAACCAATCTGCTCGGTGAAAAATCACATGTGTCAACAATTAATTTTACCCAGCACTGCAGAGAATGTCTTTCGCGAACTTTGCGTCTCGAGTCACTTGCGGGTTGGCCCCACCTGGGTTTTTGCAGTTTTGCTGCCCCTCTCCCCCCTGACCAAAAATCCTGGCTACGCCTCTGAATATGGTACATAGTTTGCATTCCTCAGGCTCAGCTTTCCTCTGCCTTGTATAACTGATCTTTATGAAGAAATCAAGTCACTGGATCTTGCTGGATCAAGTTCTAAAAATTACCAACACTTTAACACAACTAAATATAACTGGCAGATACTCGAGCTGATAGCATCTGCAACTTTGTATATCCGACTGACACGAACGCGAATGTTGTAAATTGTCGGCTTGTGAAACGTCTTCATGAGAACATTCGTATTCTTTAGCAATTTAAGATAAATAAATATGATATTCGGTAAGAAAATTGAACACAAAGTTCATGTAAATCAGAATGATTCTGTATCAGATATACAAATTCCTTCACGCTTATGATTTCTTTTGTGTTTTCCTCGTGAATTCGAATTATTAATCATTTCACAATATTAGTTATATTGATAGTATAGTCACGCAACCACATCAGCTTTTTCTTATGGGTTTTAACCCCTTCGTGACAATAACATAGAACCCACCATTCCACCCTGGGTTATAGAGCATCGCCTATCAAAGGGAAGATGGTTGTGAAACTCATTAGAATAACAAAGTTATTTAACAATTATTCACCGAAGGCGAGGTGATTATGATGATTATCGGTGTTAAGGTTTTTATACATGATAATCACCGAGTCTGAAGTGAGCAATTCACCTATTCACCAATAGCGACGCCATCTTGAATTTCGCGTTTAACGCAATGCATTATGGGTGATCCAGGGTAATTGAGCGTTTTTGAAGAGGGTCTTAGTGGGGGTCTTTGGGTGTCAGTTGTCAGCTAATATTTAAGCCAATTGTCAGTTGTCAGTGCGATATATTGCAAGCTGTCAGTAGTCAGTTACTGCAAATTATTTCTCAGTAGTCAGTTAGGATATTTTGTCAGTCAAAAATTCAGGCAAATGTCAGTAGTCAGTTAACCCCATTCAGACCCTCTTTGAAGGGCTGTAAATCGAATATGTAGGCGAAAACGTTTTTATAGTTAAAAATAACAGACAATTTTTAGAAGAACTAGGAAAACACACAAAAGCTGGGAAAAATAAAAAAAATCAGGATAAAATCTATAGTTTAAATCTTTGTTAGGCCTAAAAAGGGAAATAATTTCACCAAAGTGCGCATAAAATTGATTTATACTGTCTCATTGTCATCAAGAAATTGTTTGCAAAAAAAAATTATCGTATTGTGTCTCAATACGACATTAAAGGCTTTTGAATTCGGATTTTTACCCTGGATAACCCATAATGCATCATGATTCAATATGGCGTCACTATTGGTGAATAAGTGAATTGTTTTAGTATAATTTCATAGGTGATTATTTGGAAAGAAAGATAAAAATATACATTTTTTCGTCACTTGGACAAAATGGCTTGCCGCCATTTCGCAAAACTGCAGATACACACTGGACGCGATTCGACAACGCGACTCGATTTTTTAGGAGGGGCGCCGGAAGCAATGTGAAGCGGCGGGGGCAGCCATTTCAAAAGGGCACTTGCTTCTCAGCCATCATTTTTCTGAGCGGCAATATTTTTTAAAACTTTACTGTATGGATACTCGATTACTTGTGGCTATTATGGGTCGGCAAACTTCGACATTAATTTGAACAATTTTATTCGTTGCACCGTGCTAAACAGAGTTGGAAATTACGTGCTGAATATATGTCAAATTTTTTAGTCTGTTTTTTTTAAGTGAAATTTTTGCTGGCTGTTTTCCAAGCAAAGTTTAGTTATGTTCTGGACTGGGCATAGGACAAGTTCTATGTTCTTAAATACGTCGTAAACGACTAAAAATCCGTCACCGTTTACAAAATCTGGTGCTCAGTTCATTTTGGATTCTTCTCACTTAACCCACTATAGAACACTAGAGTACTATAGTTTAGTTGGAATCACCAGTCATGGTAACTCAGAGTCACTGCTTCTCATTCCGGCCAGGAGAGGGTCTTCACGACCACTGTCTTCGGAGCTGTCCGACGACTCCCACCAAGCAGATGTAACTAGTGCCGCCAGACTGCAGAGTATGGCAGTTTTCGACGAGATCTCGAGTGTGCAAGACAAAAATTCAGGTGTGCAAGTGTGCAATCCTCAGTTAACGTAGTCAAGTGTGCACTTATAAATAGCTACATGTTCTAATGATATTAAACAATGATTGTTTATTTGTACAAATAACTAAAATTTCTGCCTCTCAGGAAAACGAAACGTGGTCCAAATTCTGACGAACAAACAAGAATATATATTTCGATCGGAGTTAAAAGTCATTATGAACACGTACAAAATAGCGTGTTTTTGACACACTTTGTGTCCTGTAAAAGGAAAATGTGCATGTTCTTGTAATTGAGTTGTAAATGGAAAAGTGTGCACTCGAAAATGCCATTTCCGACAATGTAGGGACTCCAAATTTCAAAAATGTTCAGCTCGGCGCCAACCATGGTGGCGCTTCAAGGAAATCGGACCAATTATAAGTTCTCTTGTGCCCATGCTTACATGCTATACGGTTTTGTTTAATCATAAAAACCTGATGATCGCAAAACTCTGCTGTAGATAGAAATTCGAAACTTTAATGGACATTTTTCATTTGCGCCCATGAATCAGCGTTCCCAATTTTCAGGTGGTTGTTATATTACACTTGTCTTAGAAGTCCTTATTTTAATGCCTGACAAAACTGGAAAATATTTGAAATATGTTTAAGTGTGCAATACCATTGGCCAAAAAAAATCTCGGGTGTGCACTTGCCGTACTCTGCAGTCTGGATTAGTCTAGTGGGATTTCTTGACCGCTTCTGTGGCAACTTCCTGGATAAATCAGCTTCCATCTCTTCTTTATTTTCCTCACTCTCCGATTCCTGTTCGCCCACAGCTCCAACATCTTTCAACCAATCTCTAAGGAATTCTTCCCCCTTGTCCTTTTTGATGCGCTTCCTCTTGCAGCATATTGCTTTCTGTTCCCTTGGGTCTTCCTCCGCGATTTGTCACTATTCCAGAGGTCCACAGCAAGCTCACGGAAAACGTGCAGAGTTGGACCTGTCACTTTATTGCGCATTAAATCAGTCAGGTTGCGTACGTTCAACCTGTTGCGCCAGCCAGATTTGACTACACGCAAGTACGAGAAGAACGACTCGCAAACTGCATGCATTGCCGTACGGGCAGCAGAGACACAGCTCAACCAATGCCGACAGTTCCCGTGCTTCCTCCAGCTTTACCTTCCAGAGCATTGGCCACAGATCCATGGAGTCGATAACAGCTTCGTTATAGTATGCCGTTGCCGATCCTTATGCTCTGAAATTAAAAATCGCCGGCAAGGTCCTAAAACGGCAGCCAGCGTCCCTAGCCAGCGTCCCTAGCTAGCGCGTCCCTGATTCATATGAATAATGATATTCATGAACATAAGAAAAAATAATGATATTCATAA